CCCTTATTTGGTAAATTATATTTACGTAATATGGCTACGTGGCCTTATGTCAGCACAAGCATCCCGCCCCTTTGTTTACATGCAGCTATGGGGTGGGGAATGCCCGGCCCCGCTGCTGATTTGTTGTAAGTGCCTGTGGCACTTCCTTGTTTAGAGGAACTCAGGTCCAGGTCGGTTCCATCCAAACCTGAGCTCATCCCTAATAATGACCATTAGACTGAAGACATCTAGCAGCAGAAGAAAAGTACTGAGAAGGAAATCTCTGGAGTGCAGCTGGTTTTGTGATTTTATTTATTAATGGTCTAATTATTTTTAACTTGTTGTTTTTAGGACTGTTTATTGTTTATATGCTACGAATGAAATAACCTGCCTCTGCACCTGTCCCTGTCTGCTGTACAGAAATGGAGCATTGTTCTACGATATATGATGAGTAAAGCCAGACGAGCAATTTATTTCCACTGATGTCATGTGGAGTTGAAAAGTGAAACATTCACATTGGATTTACCCCTCCCATATAGGGTAAGACCTTTTGGCGACTGTACATCAACAATCAACAATGCACATCTGTCATTGTCTGTCTCCGGCACTCCAACATGCTGGATTGGATTGGAGTACAGGGGTAACAGACACTCAGGCTGGTGCTAGGAGGGGGGATACCAAAAACGTGTACATATTACTATATGTGCTGTATATATAAAACTAGATCAAATCTATTGCTTTTGTCTTTCATTTGTAATTAAAATGGACATTTGTCAGGAAAGAATATATTTTTCTACCAAAAAGGAAATTCTACTTTTTAGAGATAAAATAAATACATTCAGACTTCCTCATAAAAGAAAAAAATGTGCATTTATTATTGTTTATTTTTTTGCATTGCATACAATAAAGCATTGCAACTGCGATCAGTGGATAACGGGTGCAATGCTCTGGCTCCTGCAGACTCTTCCTCCCATCCTTGTCCATACTTCGGTATGGACATTCAGTAACAGGGACGGGAGGAAGAATGAACAGACTACAAGTATGGTGATGTCACCACACTTATTTTCTCTGAATGGTTGACGCAGCTGTGTTGGTGGAGACATGCACAGTTGCGCCAAACTCAAAAATACACACCAGCATGCAAGCAGAACCTCGCATTTTTGGTAAATTGGGGGGGGGGGGATTACATTTGAGCATTTATGTTATACTCTGAATATGGGTAAAAAATTAAACATAGTCAAATAAGTAAACTTTTACCAAACACATTATTGTTAAAGGGGGTTTTGTGAGCTAGCTCTATGATCAGTGGCCACTTTTTTTAAAGCAGATCTGCTTTTCAGTACATAGTAATATAGTAGATAAGGTTGGATAAAGAATTTAAAAAAATAAGTGAATCATGAGCCTGCAATATATTATATCTAAAGCGTAAAAACATGGCCAAGAGGTTCATTTCTTGACCAAAGATTGCAATGGTGAATATGTGTAATCTTTGCAGCTTTGTCCATAGAATCATTGTTGGCACCAGATGCGGTGGCTGCAGAAACTGCCGACCACTTAGAATTTGCAGCTGCAACAATCTCTGGAGATTACAGACAATGGTGTAAAAATAGAAAACTTCTGTGGGAGAAGACACCTTGCATTGTTTGTATACATGGATGGGACCTAAATTAGTATTTCGCTTAAAGTGACACTAAACTCTGGAGTTATATCCTAAAAATGCATTCAGGTACCTTAATTATTAACAATACTGTGCCGTATTTGTGCATCACTCAGCTGTAGATCGTCAAATCATCTCTGAATTGGTGCCGACACTGTCCTTCCTTCTGGAGGGGGGCTACGTTTGTTCCCCACGGTACCTGTGTGTGTTGTAAAGTAGCCACCACTCCAAGCTCACTCCTGTGATGGACTGCAATGTCAATACATATTAGTAAACTAAATGCGAGATTGTAGTCCATCAAGGGAGCAAGCTTGAAGGAAGGACAGTGTCGGCAACAATTCAGAGATGATTTGAGGATCCGATCACTCTACAGCCGAGTGATACACAAATAAACTACAATATAGTTAATAGTTAAGGGACTTGAATGTATTTTTAAGGTTTAACTCCTGGGTTTAGGGTCACTTTAAAGGGTAAGTGTAGGAAGACAGATAAATTCATAATTTCATATACTTACAAGTGAACTGTTTTATCTGCTAAAATAATGTTATTAAAGCTCAGTCACTTTTCTAATGCAGACGTGTATGCCAGACAGCACAGCAAGATTCTGGCCTCAATTCCCCTACATTACAGCTTGGTCCAGGTCCTTGCAGTGCTGCCCCTTCCTATATTATGCTCAATGTACAGAAAAACACAAACTACTGACAGCCATGTAGAAGCTTCTATGGCAGAAGAGGCTTACACAGCAATTTAAAAAAAAACAAAAAAACCTCCCACTCTCACTTTAATGCATACAGAAGCTAAAAGCAGAATTATACCTCCTATCCATTACAGCCAAGGAAGGTGCCATCTTGGCCTCTATTTGGATTGCAGTTGCCATGGTGCTGCACATGTTGTCACTTATGGCACCAGCCATTTGAGGCCTTGAAAGGTCAGTGGAGAGATGAAATAAACACACTGGCAACCTGGCAGTCGGCATGCCATAAAAGTAACTGTTTTAGGAGACATTACAATGGTAGGCAAAGTTCCTCTTTAACCCATTGTCACTGGCTGGTGTCAGCCCTTTAAGGAGTTCCTAAAGCCAGGAGGCAGTGGCGGGCTTCTTGATCATGTGATCACTGCGACTGGCTGTCACAGTGATCGCATGATTGGGAGCCTTTCTCCAGCTCCCAGTTGTAAATAGTGCCCGGGAGATGTTGGTAAAAGTGCATTCCCTGCTGTGCTGCCACATATATGTGTATGGCCAGCAGCAAGAGGTTAAAGTGGATGGCTTCACATTCTAAGGGCCTGTTTAGACCAGATGCATTGGAAATTAAGACAAGTGTGGCCCTAATGCACAGGCAAGGGAATTTTTTCAGCACAGCATTGTGGAATGCGGTCCAAGCCTAGAGCGCTGCACAGCACACCTCAGAGGAAGAGAAGAGCTGTTTGGGTTTACTTTTCTTGCACTAATTGTCTACTAAGTCTGTAGGGAGCCCCTCAGGACAGGGAGGAGGATGGAGGGGAAGAGTAATTCTACTAAGTATGAGGGAGCCCCTCAGAACATGGAGGAGGATGGAGGGGAAGAGTCATTCTACTAAGTATGAGGGAGCCCCTCCAAACAGGGAGGAGGGTAGAGGAGAAGAGTCATTCTACTAAGTCTGTAGGAAGCCCCTCAGAACAGAGAGGAGGATAGAGGGGAAGAGCCATTCTACTAAGTATGAGGGAGCCCCCTCAGAACATGGAGCAGGATGGAGAGGAAGAGTCATTATAATAGGAAGCTCCTCAGAACAGAGAGGAGGATGGAGGGGAAGAGTAATTCTACTAAGTATGATGGAGCCCCTCAGAACATGGAGGAGGATAGAGGGGGATAAATCATTCAGCTGAGTCAGTTTGAGCTTGAGCTATTGAAGTCTGTAAATAACAAGCATTTTTTTACACTGAAGCAGCTAATTGTTTGTTATTGATGTTTACAGTCTTGAAGTTGTCCAGTCCCATCTTTCAGCATGGAGATGTTCCAAAGCTTTTATATGTGGCCAGTAACAGGTTACTGCTTCTAAATTATTAATGTTTTAGTACAAATATATGTTACTCTGGTTGAGCTGCCCGCCCACCCACTCACATGAAGAAATAATGTAAGCATCGTGGAGAAATTCATCTTCCACAAAAATCACCCTTCCTTTCCTCTTTACTTTCTATGGAAGCAGAATCTTAGTAGCCTGCCAGCCTTCTAATGTCATTGCACACTGGGTGTTTCTAGCTGTTAAAATTCAACTAAAACCCAATTTTAGAGTCCTTATTTGGATCATTGAAGATCTTTGAGAATTAATTACTTCACACTGCATGCAGCTATGGAGGTCAGGGATGGATTGTTTTAAAGCTCTTGTTAAAAAATGTGAAAACTGTAATGCCCATTGTCTGGGCATGTGTGCACTTTAAAGTATACTATATAAGACAAATTATAGGACTACAAGTGATAGGGTGAGAAGTTAATGACTCCTGTCACCTTCTAAACCCCGTTGTAAAGAAGTTTCAGCTCTTCTTTGAGTCTTGACATACTTACACCTTCTACACACCACTGGTCAGGGGGCATTCGCATAGAGATCTAAGGAGGTCATTCTGGCCAGCTGCGGACTGGCACTGGAGGATGGAAGCTTGCCAGGACACAAAATTTGCACTTGAAGATTTCTTATTTGGGGGCACAATCATAATATTTGTTTCACCCCTATTCAGGGATATTGTGATCCCGGAGATCTGCTTAGGTACGACATTAAACCTTTAAAAGCAGAAGAGACCAGTGTCAACTTTTGCACAAAGAACTACAATATTGTATAAATAAGAGAAGAAAGGGATAACATAATCCATAGTTTACAATACGGCACATCAGTGCAATTTCACATTACAAAATCATATACACACCAGCAACTAATCCACACTGACCTTAGACCGTAGCACAACCCCTACTGTATTAAGTTATTAGGCAGACTTAATATTAAAGCCTTAAGAAGCACATCAGGAATATGAAATGAATACACGGCACAATCCAGATTAAAGCTAGAAAAGAGAGACGTGACAAAACACAGCCAAACGATACAAACACCTAAATGAGGAGAAAACCTAAATAGCAAAAGATAATAAAAAGGAGCGAATATGGGCACGTAACGGAGTTCAGTTTCCATTTCCCCTATCAATAAATATGGTGCAGACTTTTTCCATCGGAGCTAAAATTAGCAACAAAGTATAAAAATACAATTGATATTCAGAAATATTCAGAGAGTTGCAGAAGATGTACAAGTATTATGTTATGTCATGGTGCCGCCATGCCCAAAATAGTGTATGCATCCTATTACTGATGCAGAAGAGAGATGAAAATTCAAAGGATGCTTACCAGGTACCACACGCCAAGGATAATTGTCCCAGTGCGGACATGACAACACAGGCAACAGCTGTTAGAGTAGAATCGAGCCCATGGTGAATACATCTTCATGTCTTGGGAATGATTTGAAATAAACTCTTGGGCTTGTGATGATGCTTCTTTAATGCACCAGATAAGACTTTAGTTGTTCTGGCAGCAATGTAGTTGGCTTCAGTGCATGGGAAATGTGATCAGAGCTTCAGCACCACAGGAAAGGACAACACAAGCAAGCAGCATCACTGCTCATAACTGCAGGATTCTCCTACACAGCTCTAAAGACAAGCACTGACTACATAAGAATAGATTAACTGGAGATAACAGGGATCCCCCCCAAAAAGCTGAGCACCATTACCCTCTAGTGGAAAGGAGGCTGTGTTACAGTGCAATCTACCAAGCTCAGCCTCTTCTCCTATTTATATTACATTCTATATTATGGGAAAGTCTTACCCTTTACAGTCTGTTTTGTAAATATAAACCGTAAGCCATAACTTGCTATGTATAATAATCATTTTTATTTTCAGTGTTACCTCGGTATACAATTTTTTAAATTACAGGGGGATTTTCTTTAGAAAATTGTGGGTATGTGGGCATTGTGTGGGAAATGTGTTCATTTCAATTGTTGCATTTGATAAGCGGCACCATCTGTCAAATGCGATATGCTGTATATTTTTTGCTGTGCCAAGACAATGTATACAGCACTGTGTGGCTACAGTGCTACCACTGCGGCGGGGGGCTGGGGGGGAAGGCAGAAAAAAATGCACATCAACCGCACGGCTCTACCGCCCCACCACTGGCCGTGTGAATGAGGCCTTCTGTAGCGTCAACAGTTTGCACAGCACTTTACATAATAAGGGGAGATAGAACAGTTACAATTCCATGCAAGAGGATTAGAAGGGCCTTACTCATGAGAACTTACAATCTATACTTTCCTTTTCCCTGCAGTCGTCTTAGTGGGTGATGACATCATCAGGACTGTCTCCTCTTTTTCTTCTGGAGCCCCAGGGCAGGCGTTCTTCCTGGACTCAACGGAGCTCACGGAATGACATGCGGGCGCCACTGCAGTCCTGGACTACTGTGCATGTAAACAACAGGCTGGGCTCACTGGATATGGACAGAATGACATTCTGTTGAAGAGGACTGCCAGCGCTGGTCCAAGGAGGAAGAAGTCAGGGACAACACTGGCACATGGAGAGGATAGGTAGAACAAAGGAGGTGGAAAGGAAAGAAAAAAAAAAAGTTGGGGTTCCAACTTCCAAAATCCTTTTGAATATATCCCCACCCTAGCTCTAAATCGAAATGTGATTTGGTAATACTGACAAGCGCCTATTGAGACTTGTGTGGGTTTTAATCATGGCTTAATTTTAGGACATGTTTGCTATCGGCAATGGTAGTTTTTGTCACAGGGATCCTGGCACCAAGAACAAGGGTATATTCTGCATATCCCCTAACAGTTAACAATAGAACAAAGCAAGCCTTACACTAAAGCACACTTTTAATATTTAACCATCCTATGATTCCTTGTGAATATGGCTGTATCATAAGCTGCCCACACATGTTACAATCTGATTGTATAATCTCCTTTAGAACTACCAAGAGCATGCCTGAATAGCTATAAATTGATTGGATAGATCAGTTAGGTCCTCATATAATAAAGTTTTGGTAGATCAAAGATTGCTTGTGCAGAGATAGTATGGTCAGATTGTAACCTGTATGGTTAGCCATGGTGAAGCATAGGGCAGTGCAATCAATCCCAAAATGTGCTGCCTTTTTTGGGAGCTTCTCGCTTTGCACTAAGATAGTGTGACAGAAAGAGAAATGATCATCCAAACGCGTACCCAGCTGAAGTCAGCATTATCAGCACAATTTGGGTAAGCCTTGTCAGCATTACAATTATGGAAATCACTATGTATAAAAATGTCTGCTCACTGCCATGATGCCTTCATAAGGTACAGGATAAGAAATCACTGCCTAACATATATATTTAGAATACTATATTTGGAACTATTTCCTTGGATAGCCTGTACAGCCAATCTTGTGATTTACAAGTCAGTTTTCTGTGTCACCTCTTCACCTACAGATTGCTTAGTGGACAGTGAATCAACTTCATCAGCGCTGTCCAATGAGCGGACTGTCACATACCTGGTGAAGACCCAAGATGAGTGGCCTTCTCTTGCTCCTCCTGTTCAACATCCCTAGAACTGGCAATGGGGAATATAATGACATGGAGTGGCATGAATATCACTATTTTCATGCAGTACTAGATTTGTTGAGGCTGGCAAGTGTGTGGAGCAAGCAGCTGTAGACCACTGGACAGAAAACAGATGCAGGAACTCCGGGGTACAAGAACATGGACAAGATACAAGCCAAGGGCGGACTGTCACATACCTGGTGGAGACCCAAGATGAGTGGCCTTCTCTTGCTCCTCCTGTTCAACATCCCTAGAACTGGCAATGGGGAATATAATGACATGGAGTGGCATGAATATCAATATTTTCATGCAGTACTGGATTTGTTGAGGCTGGCAAGTGTGTGCAGCAAGCAGCTGTAGACCACTGGACAGAAACCAGATGCAGGAACTCCGGGGTACCAGAACATGGACAAGATACAAGCCAAGGGCGGAAACAGCTGGACAGCAGAGGTGCCTTTTCAGGAGACAGGATGGGAGGTAAGTGTTCAATCTAAGGTCGGTAACAGCTGGGCAGTGAAGGTACCATTTCAGGAGATAGGATCGGCAAAATGTGAACCACCAGGGGTGACAGAAATGTGGACAGGATACAAGCCGAGGTCAGAAACAGCTGGGCAGCAGTGGTACCAAGTCAGGGAATGGGATGGGAATGGGATGGGAATCGAGGGTTTAAGCCGAGGCCGATAACAGCTTGGGAAGCAGAATTACCAATTCAGGAGGGTAGGATCGGAATTAATTAAGAACACAAAAAAAAGATAAAGTGCAATCCTGTGGGCAAACTTCAATGGGATGGCTGATGTTTGTAGGTGTGCAAAGCTCCTCACTACAGGGAGAGGACCCTGTCTATACGTAACTGCAGATAAAAACTCAAAGGACAGGAGCGCAACTACCAGGAGTGACGTGAACGGAGTGAATCTAGTGGGTCTATGCGATGGGGGAAGATGGTGGATCTTGACGTGTAAGATCTGGGTGTGTGCCGTACTGTTAAAGCAAACTAACTTACAGTTGGAAGCTTCTCCGTGGTCTGTGCGGCGCCCTCAGACAGATCCTGGGTCGCCGAGACCCGATGGTGTCCCCGGTGGTATGAGAGGTTGGTCTGTTGGGGGTGCGTGTCCGTATGGCCGCCCGCGTTCTCGGCTGGCCGTGCCGAGCCGCGTCGGTCATAAACGAAGACAGAGTGGGAGGAGCTATACCCGGCTGGGGAACGCCGTGCGACGGGGTGGATCGCCAAGTCTGTGACTGTCGGGTGTCTCCAGTGGCTGGCTACGCGTTTCGAGGGTTAACCTCTTTTTCAAGCCTCAAAAATACTGGAGATCGTGGGACTTCTATTGGATTTTAAATGTGACAGGGGGGAGGAGTGTAATTGGTTTTGAGCCCGGTGATATTTATCCGGGGTTGATCAAACGACAACCCCGGATAAATAAGAAGGGTTAACAAACACTCATATCGGCTCAAGGCGGACCTAGTCCTCTAATCCACTCCCTTCATGCGAGCTGCAGCCTATCACCGGGCTCAAAACCAATTACACTCCTCCCCCGTCACGTTTAAAATCCGATAGAATTCCCACGATCTCCAGTATTTTTGAGGCTTGAAAAAGAGGTTAACCCTCGAAACGCGTAGCCAGCCACTGGAGACACACGACAGTCACAGACTTGGCGATCCACCCCGTCGCACGGCGTTCCCCAGCCGGGTATAGCTCCTCCCACTCTGTCTTCGTTTCTGACCGACGCGACTCGGCCAGCTGAGAACGCGGGCGGCCATACTGACACGCACCCCCAACAGACCAACCTCTCATACCACCGGGGACACCATCGGGTCTCGGCGACCCAGGATCTGTCTAATGAGGGCGCCGCACAGACCACGGAGAAGCTTCCAACTGTAAGTTAGTTTGCTTTAACAGTACGGCACACACCCAGATCTTACACGTCAAGATCCACCATCTTCTCCCATCGCATAGACCCACTAGATCCACTCCGTTCACGTCACTCCTGGTAGTTGCGCTCCTGTCCTTTGAGTTTTTAGGATCGGAATTAAGTGTTCAAGTGAAGGTCGGTAACAGCTGGCCAGTGAAGATACCAATTCAGAAGACAAGATTGGAGTCGAGTGTTCAAGCCAGGGTCAGTAAGAGGTGGCAGCAGAGCTACCAATTCAGGAGGCTGGATTGAAGTCGAGTATTCAAGCCGAGGTCAGTAACAGCTGGGTAGAGGTGGTAGGAGGCAATAAGTGGTCAAGTAGGGAGGCCAAGGTCTCAACATGTAGGCAAAGGCCCAGGCGCAGGTCACAAAGCAAGCCATGTCCTACATGGGCAGGCAGAAAAGCGGGTCAGGTCACAGGTTAACAGAAACTAGATTAACAACACTCCTCAATCTCTCCATGCTGTTTTCCCATTTTATTGTATACAGGGGAAACTCGAATAATTAGAATATCGTGCAAAAGTAATTGCAGTAATGGCTGCAAAAGGGGCCCAAACCAAGTACTGAGTACATATGCATGCTTGTACTTTTCAGAGGTCCGATATTGTTCTATGTACAATCCTTGTTTTATTGATTGCATGTAATAATCTACTTTTTTGAGATTGTGGATTTGGGGTTCTTGGGGTTCTTGAGCTGTAAGCCATAATCATCACAATTATGACAAATCACGGCTTGAATTATCTTGCTTTGCATGTAATGAGTCTATCTCATATATTAGTTTCATGTTTTAAGTTGCATTAGTGAAATAAATGAACTTTGCACGATATTCTAATTATTCGAGTTTCACCTGTATATGCTGTTTGGCTCCTACAGCAGTGCTGAGCATGCACACATGGCCACGCACACATGTAATGTGTATCACAAGAGTAGCAAGCCAATATTACAAATCAATCTGCAGTACACATATATGTCTGTTACCTGTGTACAGTATTTAGCTGTTTGCTTGAAGATCTGATTTACTGCTTTCAATTTAGTCTGAGCGCACACATATGCTTCTCTGGAAGCAGGTAAATGTATTCATTAACAAGTGCTTGCGTATGGTTCCTGGGGGCTTTACTCAAATACATCTGATGTGAAGAGAACACAGCAGACAGCTGAATATTCCACAATGCCCATTACACATCAATTTACAATATGTCTGCACAGCGATCTGCTAGTTGCAATCGCATACAATAACTGCCCTTACATAAAAACAGCCATTTTTATAATCACACTATATGTAGCTGTATTGTCCGGGTGACCCAAAACAGACAGATTTTATTGTCTATTTTTCTAGCTCAAGCTTGATGTGCTAGCTTGGTTGCTGTGAAGACTTTTTTTTTTTCGCCCACCACCTTGATAACGGAGGATTACGTTATGATGTCATCTCTGAGAATGTAACCTACAACCTCGTTGCCTGCATACTGTGATCTTCTCTATAAACAACTTTAATCCAATAACATGCCATGTCTGATTTAAACTGTCTGGGATTAAGGGAGTAATCTGCTTTAGCCTTGTCCTTGTTTCTTGGTTCTCGATTGTAAAATTGTTCCTGTGACTAATACACCACATTTATATACAGTAGCAACATAAAATGTTATAGAGGAGTACAGTTATCTTAAGGGCTCATTGACATGGGCGCCAAAAACGCCATGTACAGATATGACGGGGGTATAGTTTTGTATGCATCTGTACACAGCAGTATTGATGTCTATGGGCCCTGAAAGCTTAAATAATATATATATATATTTTAAAACATGGCTCCATCAGGGGCCATCATTTCTGTGTCATTTTTTTGCTTGTATGCGTGTAAAGATTTGCGCTATTTACATGTGTGCAATGTACATGTGTAGCTGCTGCTGCTTACACATTATTAATGATCACATCTCCTCCTGAATGAGTCATTCATGCGGCAGTGAAACATGTGCAGAATTACTGTGGCCTTCACTCATTCAGAATCAGCTGAAGTCATTCTGCACATGTGCCATTGTTGCATGAATGAATCATTCAGGAGATGTAAACATTAATAGTGTACAATCAGCGGCGGTGCGGCTGGCTACACATAGTTAATATTTTCACGTTGGCCCTGAGCAGCGCCATCCATGCACACTGTACGCACGTAAACATTAACACACGTTAGGAGCCTACAGCGTAAGTTTTACGCAGGATCTCACACACAACTACTGTATAGGTAACTGCCAGTATTAGTCTTAAGGTGCCCATACACCTTACGATTATCGGACGATTTTCGTATGCGATCGACTTTTCAGGCCGATAATCGTACGTGTGCATTGCAGTGTCCAACCGACATTACTGTACAATTATACGACTTTTGACTGTCAAGCATTTTTGAAAACTTTGCTAGATCGTACGATTTTCACAAGGTTGCTGGCGTTTCCGTCCGTCAAAAGTCGTATGATCTACACTGAGCTTGCGCTAACGAAAATACGGCAAATCAATTACCGCATTTCGTCCAGGTGCTTTTAGTTAATTACGGCTAAATTAATCTTGCGATCATCGGGGCAGGATGGGACTATTCGATCATCGGACGAAAAGTTTCGTCCGATAATTGTGAGGTGTATGGGCACCTTAACTTTGAAGCAAAATTATGGCCAAGAAATCCGGTGGCAGGCAGATCTTGGTAGCGGTACGCACTCTTTTATTGAAATAGTGTCCCAAAAGCCTCCAGTGCTTTAGAACAGGAAACAGCTACCTGCAGTTCTTGGTTGCACTGTGGTCCACCCTCCTGATCTTCTCATTGCCCTACTGGCCGGTAAGGCCACCCTTCACACTCTGCAGCCAATAGGGAGAACAGAAAGGTACAATGTGGCTAAATTTAGCACACCTATGATTACTGTGGTCTCTTGTTGATGTGATAAAGCCCGCTTTATTGTCATGGAAGCAGAGCACTATTTAAACAGAAGAATACATACAGGCATCAGGACCATTATAGTCCAGTTGCCAGATAACCACCAGTAAGAAGGCAACAGGTTTACTGTAAAGCTCAATTCTGGTTTGGACATTTAACGGAAAAGTGTACCCCCTCCCCCCCAAACTTTGCATCTATAAACTTGCTGTGACCACACACCCAAGGAAGGTAATCCATCTATCTCAATCTACCTGCAGGTCTCAGATGCACGTCTAGTAGATCTTAGAGCCATGATTTCCCTTTTACATCTGGAAGCAAGGAATAACGTGATTAAACATGTGCCATCTGCTGGTCTGTTTTAATACTGCAACATTTTTCAGGTTCAACCAAAGTTTTAGTTTAAAATCAGTGCAATACATATGAGGGTCATCAAAACAAAACAAAAAAGCCTTAGTATGTTTTTCCATAACTTGTCACAGCCAGAATAGAAAAACTTGTCCCCTGCCAGCATGCTGTAGAGGAGGGCTAAGGGGAGTCCTCTGTGTGGAAGCAGTGGTCTCTCTGCTGATTGCAGAGCTATAGGTTGGACTCAGCAGGGGCGCCTTGGACATCTGGATAGAGACCACTTCCACACAGCACAAGGATACTTTTCCACAGCATGCTGGCAGGGGGCAGCCTTTTGGAACAGCTCAGGCTGTTAAATATAGTCAAACGGAGGCTCCATTTATATATAGCTTTTGCATTTACCTAGTGGTTTCCCGTGCGGAAGACGGCGCAGCAATGCAAAAGCTAAAATCTTTCATCCGCACGTTTGCGACTATTACATAGCGGCAAACGTGCGGTATCCATCAAAACATAAATATCATATCTTGAACTATTTTGGGGGCCGCAGTTTCGTACCACACCCCCACCGCAAATGTCTCAACAACGCACATTTAAAGTGCATTTTTCTTTTTCTGTTTAGAGCCGATTCACCCGGCCAAATATGTGCGGACAGCTGCTCCAGTGAGAATGGAGCCTTAGAATTTTTGCTCCTGTGATGGACTACAATATCATGTTTAGTTTACTAATTTGTATTGAGATTGTAGTCCATCACAGGAGCGAGCTTGGAGCGGTGGCTACTTTACAACACACAGGGACAATGGAGAACAATACTAGGCGTTTGGCAGGTGCCGGGTAGCGAGTCTTCTTTTGCAGGGGTCAGTTTTTAGCAACTTAAAATCACTTAAAGGGCGGAAATAGTAATCTCACCACACAGCCACATTGCTCTTCTAATAGTACCTTGTATTATGAAGTCTGTGTGCTCTGACAATGTATGCTGTGACTACATGTGTCTGCTTTGTGTGCGGTTGTATTCTATTTGCTGTATGAGAGGGTGCCCCCACAGCTTTCACTTTCTGGGCATGCAATTACTTCAGAGTCTGTGTACTAAAAAATATGAGTGCCATACGACATTTTAAAGTTAGGATCTGGCCCTGTGGAAGGAAAGTGTGATGTGCTGTTGTCCCCAAAACCTGAGGAAACATTGAATTAAAATAGTTTGTGCAGCAATTTGTTTTATTTTACCAGCCATGGAGCTTTCTTTTAGCAGTTTAACACACCGCATGTGCTAGGACTGCCAGGGCGTACTGTAAAAAAAAAAAAAAACTAAATAAATTTGTAGACACGTAGTTCATTTGCAAGATTTATTTAAACAAAATCAACTTAGAAATATCACTGAATTAAACAAAAAAAGGTTTTGAACAGGTAAACTTACTTGTCATGTTCCTGAAAATTTCTATTTTTTGTTTTAATACATCTGTGTAAAAATTAGTATTTAAAAATCAGGAAATCCCCTCCCACCCGAAAACAAATACAGTGGACCTGCACCCAGTACACAATGAACACTGTCATTTAGTAGGTGTAAACGTCTATTTTACCCATCAAGCCTGTGGTAAATCTGTAAACAGTTGGTACTGAATAATACATAGGGGGGCAATACACACTGGAGCGGCTTTCCCAGAATGACCAGATTCCAGATGCTCTTTTAGTAGTGCAAGTCAGACATGAGAAGCAAGTATATCATTCATGTTCTTCAACAAACCTATGCTCCAGTTATAAGCCAGCCTCCACCTTGTGATTGTTAGGTTCTTCCCAGAAAATGGCAGCTTACATTTGTTCTTTGGCGAAAGCTCCACATTAAAGCAATCCTGCCGCCACTTCAATAAAAGTTCCACACAGCAGACCCTGGAAGAGTTGGGTCATACTTGGCATTCCAGCACGTGTTACATTTTCACACTCTAGGTTCCAATGCTCACACACTTCTCGGTGCATGCAGCGTGGGATCATATCAATGCCAGTGTCATCCCAAACCCCTCAGGCTAATCGTTCTATTCACCAAGGGGAAAAATACTGCAAATACTCACTTAAATATTTAGTCGCGTGACGCAAAGTGTCTTCTTGATTCTTCACTGCTTACAGGAAGCCACGTCACTGCCTAAGTGACGTGGACACTTCCCAGCCATGGGGTGCTCTCTGACTTGAGAAAACTACAATGGTGTGAAGAGGGGAGGGCAACAAGAAAGGCCAGTTGCAGGAACAGATCGCATGGGGGGCGTGCTGGAATGGATGGGGGTTAAGGGGTGGTTATGTGATTGCAGATTCCCATAGGTTAAAATAATGCCTAGGGGGACGGCTAATTATACCTGGACATGGCACGCCGGCAAGGAAATGCCAAGTATAAACCTGCTTTTACAAGGTGACTGTGTATTTTTTTCCCCAATGGCGACAGGGTCACTTTAAGCAGGGATGGTCTTACTCCCCCTACTCAGCATTAATGTGTAAACCTTTGAGGTCCAGAAAATTCAAGATAATATTGGACTGAGGAAAGTTCAATAAAAAAAAAAAAAATATTAGTGTTAAGCCGCTGATCAGTACCGTTGGTTATAACTGTTACAGAGCAGGTTACGTCATATTCCCAGGTACAGTAAAGAGACAACATTGTACATGGCTTTTTTTTTTGTCCACACCCTTTTCCCAGATTGCTGCCGCTTTGTCAAAGAACATTTGGTAAGGCTATTTACAAAGTCCGACTTACCATGCAGAAGAAGGAAGAGATACAAAGTTAACTGTAAGTTTAATAAAATGAAATAACATTGCCTGCAAATGGTGATAAAACCACACGCGTTTCTTTTAAATCAACAGAGTCCGAAGCTGGCAATACTTCTCACAACTACAGATGTATTTTTCTTTTATTATAAAAACACTAACTTCGGCCACAAAGTCTAAATACTAGAGTTTAAGGCAGGAAAAAAAAGAAAAGAAGGATTCCTGATTATTGAAGGTCTTAACATCAATTAAAGCTGTCTGAAGCCACCATGCCCATCCAAAAAAACCCCCAAAAACAGTATAATTCACGTTAACAGATAAAAATGGCTGCATATTCAACTTTTCAGGGCTGAGTCAAGAAGGATTGGTGACCGACGGCCCTGACATGAAACACGACTGGTTAGCCACGCTACGGCTAGAGTGCAAGTATTAAAAAATTCATTAGGAACATAATACAGTATAAGAAGTGACAAATCACATAATGCCACGCCTTAAAGAGTACCTGTCGCACGCACAGACCAGAAGCAGCCATATTGTGTTCAGTTGTCAAATCGTTTATGGTGAATCTATAGGCTACAAGCCTATGAATACTGCATCCATCCACAAAACAGCTGCCCCCTGTAAAGGCGACATGGATTATTTTCTTTAAATAAAAAAAAAGCCACCCTAATACAAAAATGGAGGACAATGCTAGCGGAACAGACTTCCTGATGTAAATGACAATGATTCATACATTCACCAGTTCACAATTCATTCTTCTGATCAGTGCTTGAAGGATCACACAAAACATTACATGACACTCTTGCACTGCACATGATACTATGGGGGTAATGAGCTGCGCTACTGTATAACAATAGCACTTGATATTAAAAATGACACAAGAAGATAAAAAGATGTTTCCATGATGAGATAGCAGAAATGTTACTTCACAAAAACAAAATAAATCACCCCAGCTTGTTCATCTCAGAGGCCAGGTAGGGCACAAAATGAATGTAAACAGGTCACTGTTTCATAAAATCAGGAATTAAAGTCGTTTCTTCAGTATATCAAATGAAAGTTCTCAGTTGGCAATATGCGGGATCTTCAAAGTGTTGTTTTCTTTTTTCCTTTGCTGTTCCACGTTCTTGATCTTGATCTTGTTTGTGTGAATCTCGAGTTCCTTGTGTTCTTCCACCTGTCTTCAGGGAGGTCACGTTGACAGTAGTTGCTTTAAAAATGCAGAATTCGCTTTATAAAATTCTGTACAAGTTCACAAATTATTGCATAAACAGCGTCACCTTCGAGAGCGTCTGAACAGGTGTGAACAGTGAGGGAAGGAGGATCACGTCTCTCTTCTGGCTTTTTTCTTCTTTTTCACTTGCTTAGGGGATTCCCAGTTCTCTTCGGACTTAGCTGAAAACACACATTTTAGATTGGTTAGAAAAACAGTTTCACTTCCACGTTCTCTCACTTTCATAATCACAAAAACAGTTTCAAAATCAAAAAGGGAAACATGCCGTGCTAAATGAAGCATTTCCAGGGACAGGCTGCAGTGAATACTAACTATGGACTAGCAGATAGAAGGATTTAAAGTGACACTAAACTCAGGAGTTCAATCTTAAAAACACATTCAAGTACCCCAACTATTAACAAACATATATCTTGTGTATCACTCGGCTGTAGATCCTCAAATCATCTCTGAATTGGTGCTGACACTGTCCTTCCTTCTGGAGGGGGGCTACTTTTGTTCCGAATACCAAATATAGGTATTCTTCACGACCGAGTTCCGTTTCTACGACCAGGTTGTTAAACGAATTGGTCGTTAAGTGAGGAACTCTATACAGTACTGTACTGGATTAGTACAGTACTGTATGGTGTTGCAGATGTGCAGTACTGGACATCGGGCAATAAAATACTCACCGGGACCCGCAGTGAAGAACGGAGGACATCACTTCCGCCGGCGACACGTCGCACTGACGCTAACACACAAGGTCGGAGGTCGATCGTAAGTGCGAGTGGTCACAAAGCAGGTAAGTCGGTAAGCGAGGATTAGCTGTACAGATACTAGAAGTTCCATGAAGGAAGCCAGGCGACATGTAATGACTGGCCACCCGCCATCCTGATTAGCCAGGGAGCCATCTCCATGCTCCCTTGTCACCAGGTGACGAGGAAGCATGGAGCCAGCTTTCTGGTCAGTCAGAAAGCTGGGGGTGGGTAATTACTCGCACCCACAGCTTCCTGATTGGCCAGCTTCCCGGGCAATCAGGAAGCTGGCGGGCGAGTCATTACCCACCCCCCAATTTCAAGATTAGCCGGGAAGCCAGCTCCCTGGTTACAAGAGAGTATGGAGATAGCTTCCCGGCCAGCCAGGAAGCTGGGCGGCGTGTAATGACTCGCGGCCTAGCTTCCTGATACCAGAAGTCCCAGTATCGGGAGCATTGGGGCGAGTAGGAGTACTGGCACCAATACTAGTATCGGTATTAGGGCATCCCTAACAAGGACCATAGGAACAATAGTAGCCCCCCTCCAGAAAGAAGGACAGTGTCAGCACCAATTCAGAGATGATTTTGAGGATCTGCAGCTGAGTGATACACAAATAAGATAAATTTTTGTTAGGGTACTTGAATGCATTTTAAAGATTTAACGCCTGAGTTTAGTGTCACTTTAATGTTTTATTTGCTTTAATGATATAGCATTTTGTTTTTTCTAAGTTGCCATTTTTTCCCCAATTAATGTACCCTGCAAAAAAAGAACACTTACCTCTGTGACAGGTGGACACTGTTGAATAGTTATGGTGACTGGACATGGTTTTAGCAACTGAATGTTTAGCATCATCTGACACTTTATTGATAGTGTTGAATGCCTACCACCCCCCTGTCCACAGTGTGGTGGTTCCATCCATCAGCCCCTACAGCTCTAAAGGACTCAGCAATGATGTAGGGCCAGCAGAAGAAACTACAGCACACAGTAGGAGACCAGGCATCCAACAATCCTGAAAATGCTTTGTATGCTGAAGAGTCTTTGGACACCATAGCTCTTCAAGACAGCGGAGAAAGGACTCACGACCTATTGGACTAGTACGTATTCTTCATCTTCTTTTGCAGAGTGCAATTATGGCAAATAAAACAAAGTATAGTTAATTTTTTTGTTTTAACAACACAATACTAAATCATTCAGTCTGCCAGTGTCTATTTAATATTCAGTGCAGACTGTCCATGCAACATGCTTAACAGCTTGTTTCTTTTCATTTGGAAACAGACTGGTTACATTTAAAGATTTGGACATCTCCAGAATTCTTTAAAGCGGAAGCTTAATCTGCTTTTTGTAATTTTTGTTCTTCCTTTCCCTCCACATTTTAATATAAAATGTCCGAAGAAGTGGGCAGACCACCCTAGACAAAGCCCACATGCGATGCTGAACCTCCATGATTGAAGAAATGAAATCCAATTTATGAAAGGCCCGGGGCTGGGAAGGAAAGTGCTACATGATGCTGTATGTCCTCCAGCCAGGAAATGAGCAGCGCAGCGCAGTGAAATCAGAGTAATCAATTTCAGTACAGGAGAGGAACTGTGCAAGACTGAAGGCAAGACTAAAATTCAGCTTTAAGTCACTTATAAACTAGAACACACCACCTTGTACACAGTGAAAGTTGCATTGTTTTAGGCAAATATCTACAACCAGTTTCCCATGAATTAATTTCACCTACCCAAAGGACGGTCAATAGTACCTTGTGATGGTGGGGGCACAATGTTCTGCTTGGTGGCGGCAGTGCTGGCCTCTTGTGTCTGCTGCACTAGGGATGGGCTCTTCTCAGAAATGTTATGCATGGCAGATACTGAAGACTCAGTCAGCACTGTTTGCACACGTGTCTCCTTCAAAGTCTGTACACAGAATACGAGAGAAACCATTGTTAGTTCTGCTCAAAAGCTACCATTATCATTTTAACTTTAAAATATTTAGGCAAATTTACTAAAAACACTTTTCTCCAACTGAATGCAACCAGTTCAAAATGGCAGAAATTGGGTATCCATGGCAGCCTGGACTCACGGGAAGTTGGTTAAATGACAATGGGCATTATTGTAGCTCCAAGATCAGCATTGGATCACAGAGCAAAGACTCTGCAGAGGAAGCGAGTATTGCATTCAATAAGCTGCTTTTTTAATCCTGGGACCACAGATCTGCTTTTTACAAAGCCTGGGAAAATAACCTTAGAAAAAGAATGCCAATATTTATATTAAAGAAAGAAAACCTTGAAAAGTGAATCTCTCAATCACATCCGCCATGATATATTGTCCCAGCATGCCAAGTGTGAATATAAAAATGAAAGCCCCACACATCTCAATGCGGAGGTCAACTGGCAGGTGTCTCCATGCTGATCAGCTGCTCACCCATGTAATGTTACAGATCTGACTTTGATGTGGCCCTCAATCCTTTATCAACATAATGCAGCTCCACTGACAGCAGCCCAGAGCCCAACAGTGGCTTCCATGGTCATTATGAAAAAGTAAAAAGTCTTTCAAAAATAGAAGTGTTAAATTATGAAATTACCTCTTTCAGTTCATTACTTTTTCCAATGATTGATGAGATAATTACAGGAGGTGGAGAAGGGGTAGTATCCTCTTTATAATCATCCAAGGCTTCCATTGTGCCTTCCGTTTCCTGAAAGATTTAAAGCATAATGAGTTCAGTAAGCCTTGCCAAGATGGTCCAACACACGAAGGCCAGTTGTCTTTAAAACCACCTCAACCCACCAGCATGTCCAGAATGTAATGGAAGACTGGCAATCCTATCAACAGGGGGTTCTGATGCCAAATGCCACATTTAGCTTACACTTAGGCTAGGATAACACTTGCACGACACGCGATCGTGTTCAGGTGCACTCAGCGCGACTCCATTGATTTCAATGGGGTGACATCCATGCGGCAATCGCAGAAAAAAGGTACAACAACTTTTTTTGTGATACATGCTGTGTGGCTGTTTTAGCCGCGATAAAGTTTGGAAGCACGGGCAGAATACCGCGCAATCCGCCCGGCGCGTTGGGGTGCCATTAGAAAATAATGGCACCCACAGCGTGATCGGTTGACACCTTGCCGACTCCTGACCGCACGGAATCATGCACGATTGCTGCGCCGTGAGGTGTCGCCTAGGTGTGAACCTGGCCTTATCTGCCTTTTGTACATGGCAGGACATGGTGCACTCTGTCATTGCACAATTGCAGACATGAGCCCTATGTACACAAAAAGGTGCATTGCTCACTCTGGATGAAGGAGTCGAATGGTTAGTTATCCCAAAACAGATTTATCAGTTCGTCAAAAATTTGGGAGCATTGATCTGTTCCTGGAGTTAATTCACAGGTTCACACTTTCTCCTACAGGATGCTCCCTGCTGAGGAAACGTTAATAAAATGTCACCTCTTTGACAGGTACCGGCCAACACTTTGCATGGCTGTGAGCAGTCCAATCTGGATGTCACCGAAAGCTCGGTTCCTAATGACATTCAGGACACCTAACATGTGATCACTATGTACACCATGCTCCCAGGGGAGTCCATTGCAGGCTGAGCTCCGAGAAAGTGGGTTAAATGATGGTGGTCACTACTCCAGCTGATAAACAAGTGACATCTAGCATCAGAAAGGAATTACTGGGTGAAGTCCACTCCAGATTGAGGGTGAGAATTGCAGCAAAACATTGCTTTTTATTTTATAATGAGACACTGGTATTCATTTAAAAATACCAGTGCCACACTAAAAACGTCAAGATAAATGGGAGGAATCACAGAATAAGATTACTTTAGGTAACCCTCGTTTTAAAATGATTGGTGAAAGGGAAAAAATTTGCATTTTTTTACCTTCAAAATATATCCAGATTTTAAAAATCTTTGAAAAACAAGATCACTAAAAAACCCCAAAACAAACCCAGCCCCCTACAAAATGTATTCCTTTATAGATATCAAATGTCATATATCATATAATAGGCCGATCGCTTAAATGTGAAAATAGGTCTAGAATGTAAACTCTCATATTCTCAGGGGAGAACGCCATCTTAGGCTCTATTTAGATCTGCAGTTGCCATAATGTTGCACGTCATCAACTATGACACCAGTTATTTGAGGGCTCGAAAAGATCAGTTACAGTCAGAGGGATGCCTTGAACGTAGCATGCACTGCACATGTGCTAGTAGGCAGAATGTAAACAGTGACACTGCAGAAAACAATAGAAGTATGTTTGAATAAGGATTTATCACATTTATTGAACACTTATAAGTTAATCTTTTTTTGGGGAAACTTAAAAACTTGGGGAAAAGGATCTTAACCCAGCAGTAGGGCTACCCCCACACTGTAAGGGTTAAGTGCTCATTTTCGTCTATGAGCAAAAATAAAGTAATAATTATCTGAACCCTGAGCCAGTTGGCTGCTACTCTGGTTCCTGAAGCCCTTTTCTTCTTCTGCTCTAGCAATGAATGTCCCTCGGCGTCCTCAAGTCCTATACACTGTATTAGACGTGATGACCCACAGGACCTTAGACCGCTGCAGCAGAGGGGGAGCAAGGCTGAACAGGCCAGCCTAAAAGTCAGCCGGCTGCGAGGCTGGGGTGAGTACAACTTTGTTTTTCTCATCCCTAGATGAAACTGAGCACAAAACCCTTGCAGTGGGGCTCCGCCCCCTCTGCACTGCAAGGGTTAAAGCGAATATTTACACTCAAGAATCCGATTCTACCAAATGCATCCCTCTATGTATGATGAATAATAATAATAACAGACATGCCAGGTCTAAAATGCTGTGATTTTGAAATACTTACACTTGCAGGGCATTCACTTCCTGCTTTGAAAGCAAAAAATTACTTCAGTTTGCCAAAGTAATGCACACTGGGATTGTCTTGTCATCAGCAGAGCATTACTGTGAAAGGCATTTTCCTCCCCTGAAATGCTGTGCATAGTCACATGTCCTAGTCACATGTGCCAGAAATCAAGGAAGTAATAGGAGAGCTAGTAATCTGCCCTTAACAAACATGGCTGCTGTCAAAGACTGGGAAAGAAAAGATAAAGGAATGTACAGAATACAAAGCCGGCAATTATCTAGAAGTCTGTGTTTGTAGACTGTCATTACTAAACATTTCTAAAAAGGTGTGTTTGTTGTTATTTTACTGATATGGGCAAAGGTTCGCTTTAAGACAATTTGTCCTTAAAATGTGTGGGTTTTGTTCTGCTTAAACGGTTTGGCATTCTTGCAGCACATACCTGGGTAGGGGAACCAGACTCGTCTCCCTGCTTCTTCTTTTTCTTCTTCTTCTTCTTGGTTTTGCTGCTGGCAGATGTTTGGGTGGTAGTTTCTTCCTTTTCCTTGTCATCATCAGAAACCTGAATCAGAAACAAGCTATTAAAACGGTTGCCTATCGAAAAGGTAAGGTAACACTGAAATACACCGTTCAAATCTTGTCCAATGATTTGTGAAATAATAATAATACACCCGTGGTGATCAAGTCATATTTCAGGGGTAAGTGGACAACAAAAGGGGATACACCGGGACTGCCTTCTATTTGCTGTACCAACTTCCAGTGAACACCAAAGACATTTACTAACAACCTGAACTCTCTTGCAGTGCCACTTTTATAAGCAGAATACTGTATATGTAAACCACAATATTAATTCCTCCCATAAACTGAGCCAAACAGACTGGGTGAAACTGCAATAAATTTACCTTTGGAACTTCTTGCTCAGCTTCTTCAATTTGTGGATCGGGCACTGGTTCCTCTTCTCCGTAGTTCCCCCATTCTTCTGCCGGGGCATTCCAGTCAGAACTAGCGTCAGCTGAACTCATACCATCTATAAACAGTTTACAGCAAGTTAAATATACCCTTATACAGCTAAGGATACAATACATTTCCTTAAAGCTGAACTTCAGGCACAAGAACCTTCATTTAAATATATTCTTCAATGGGCACAAAGGATATAAATACACTTTGTGTACAGTGAATGAGTTTGCAAGCCTCAGTTATTACCCTGTAAAAGTAGCAATTACATTAATGTGCTACGCATGGCCTGTGCAGAGAGCAGAGCTGTAAGGGGGACCCGGTAGGCCAACCCACTACTGGCTGCCTGCAGGAAATGGGGCGGATACAAGACCAGTCACCCTGAACAAGAAGAGAGCAATACTGACTGGCCTTTATTACAGGAAACTGCAAAGTTTCACATTGGATAGTAATTTCAGATATCTGAACAAAATACATAAAAGCACACCAAGAATACACATGCCTCCTGTATTTAGACAATATTTGCTTACCTTGGAGATCAGCTGTAAGTGCATGTACATTGTAATGGTGAACAACTCATTGCACTTGTATTATTCTATGGCCTTAGCAGTGTGATCAGCCATGCCTAGTTCACCTCTAGCGAAGGGTGGGTGAACTTCTGTAGTCTATACAGACATGAGAAAAAGGAGACTGGTTCTGTAGTCCTAACAATTCCTGACCTTGGGTGCCAAACCTGCTCCTCCACAGATACAATACAGCAAGTGTTCTCTCCCTAGGACTGCAAGTGTGTTACTGACAGAATCATAAGGTAAAAAAGCCTAAAAAATCCCTCAAATGAATGCAGTCACATGACTGGCAGGCTGCAATACTGCAATTTTTGTCTTTGGGTTAGAGGCACTTTATAATCCATCCACCTAAAAAAAAAAAAAAAGAAGACATACTGGAGTCACCGGGCCCTGTGCAATTAGAAAAAAAAAATCATCAAAATTCAAAATCTTCCACAGCTTTCCAAGTGCCAATTTGCAGACCTTCCCTTGAGACGCAGTGTTCAGACACCGATGAATATGTAACAGACTGAGCTGACATTTTTGCAGCTTTGAGACTTCTGCATACACAGCAATTTCAAAACGAAGACTTAAAGGGAACCTGCAAGGACAGAAGTTTGGAAGCTACCATTGCAGACTTTTCCTTCAAAGCTGTATGCTCTGGGGTTGTGTTCTTTACCTATACGTCACTTCTTAGAGACCTGAAGAGCCAATGAAGAGTCCATACATCCTACATGCATACTTGTTCTAAGTCATTGCCTAATGAAGTAGTAAAGCCGGGGACAGGATAACAGAGCCACAGCTTGCTCCTCTGAAGGATTACTGTCCTTACAGTGCAGAGGCTCGGTCTGTTCTTGTTCCTCAACGTTGTATTCATGGTATACCTGACTAAGTGACAGATGTGTTTGATACACCATAGGCTGCAGCCTATCAGTGTACATACACATCCTGTTCTGGTGCAAAAGAAGCTGCCCCTGACACTAGAGATGGGGTAGGCAACCTCAGCACTCCAGCTGTCCTGAAACTACAAATTCCATCATGCCTCTAGGTTTCATTCCTATGGCTCTCAAGAGTCCTGCAATGCCTCATGGGACTTGGATCCAGAACAGCTGGACATAGTTCCAAAAGAGCTGGGGTGCGGAGGTTACCTTCCAATATACTAGGAGGGTTCTTTTAGGAGACATGCTGCTCAAGCAGCCCATTGTAGGGCACTTCTGCTCTAGTGGAGGTGTGCAGCAGCTTTTTTTTACTATCAGAGCAGGCCAAGCATGTATTCAAGAAAGCTGCAGACCACTGAGCATAAAAAGCACCATTCCCTTCACATTATATACAGCGCATCATTTACGTTCTGTGTGGCCTTTAAAAGCCAAGTCCACCTTTTGCAAAATAATATTTTTTTAGAGAGACTGTAAATGCAGCAACATTGATCTCATGATTGATGCAAATTAACTCATTTTGCACAATGAAGCGTAAGGGATCCGTCCATCATGGGAGCAGACTTGGTTTTAGGTATCAAAACATAATAGGAATCATTTGGTCCTTAGCAGGTCTTAAACATAGGTAAACACAACCTCAGATGAGCAACACCACATGACATATCACACCGTGTCATTATTTAATCTTACAAATATAAAGACAAAATGAAGTAGTTATGTGTGACTAACTGAAGTACACCCTTACTGCTCCCGTAGGCATTAGGAGACTTAAACCATAGTGAAGATGCAGATTTCTGTGGTTAGAACAATGCAAGGTGGCTTTCCTTTTTCTACTTTACAGGAGTTATTATTATTAGCCTGCAAATTATCAATTATAATATATTGATTTTTTGCATGCTACTTTTAATCCAAAAGCAATCAAGTGAAATTGAAAACAGCACTCATTCACACTGCAGTATTCATTTTGCAGGTGGCTCTGGCCTATATAACATTTTTAAAACGCACCTTAAGTAGAATGAGGGTCAAATTGTGACACTGCGCAAAAACTCACTTTACTTGAAACTCCGTGTGAAAAAAAAAAAAAAGGATTAAAGTGCATCTCTGACGTAGGGGCAACTTTTCAGTAGTTGGTTCAACCACCATTAAACCAGCCAATTTTTCACTAAAACTAGAGACACTGTGGAGTTGATCGTGAAATGATAGGCTGCACATTCTCGAAAAACCCCAAATGGAAACCTACACCCAGTGTGGATAACAGGTACACATTTATTTCTGAATGCATTAAGTTAGGGGGGGGGAGACGACACAGACAAGACGACAATAAAGCAAGTCCATACATACTTGGACCAGACCACTCATCATCGACGCTGGGCTCATTAGGGGAGGCCTCCCACTGACTGTCAGATGCACTGGTCTGAGGAACAGGATCACTGACAGAAGCTGAAAAATATTAAAAGGAAAGGTAAGCACTGCCTGATAAGTTGCTATAATGTAAATAAAAACTGCCTTCAGTAATCTTTAACAGCTTATAGAAGCATCTGATCTTATGTATGTCTGAAATGAAGAACTGTCACATGTAAACTGCTATAGGCTCAAGACACTGAGCTAGGACAATTGGTTTTGGTTGTTGAAAATAAAAATGACAACGGAAGATTGTTATGGCAAGCACACGTTATATCCGAACTGAGCCTTACAAGACAATACACACAAGCTCTTAGACAAAGATATTAGGCGAACACCTCATCTACAAATCTTGCAGTGATTTATTACATACATCATTGATACACTGGGCAAATTTGGAAGCTTCCCATCTGCTTAATGTGTATCCAAAAATGTGATATATTGCAGCTTACCAGCCTCTAATGTGGTGACTGCATTTGTTTTCAAGATTTTCCCCGTTACTGGCGATATCGCCATTATTATACTTTCTGTCCTGCGGTGACAACGCTTACTCACTGCACAGTATCTATAGAGAAGCAGCACTGTTCCCCTAGGGTAGGAAGTTTTTTTTTTAGGATTACAGAGCACCTCCCCTTACCCTCTATAACAAACAGGGGGGGTGTTCTACAGTCCACAGAGATAGCTGGGAACAGAGGGCACAAGAAGTTATCAGATCACACGATTTCTGGCAGGATCCGCGGGTATTTTTTTCTGCACTTTCCAATGGTAAATATAACAGACTAAAAAGGGAGCAAATCAGAAGTTCATTGTTGGGGTTTACATACATTTTAGAGAAGAATTCTCACCAGACATTCTACATATTTCTTCAGCTAGGAGACCAAGTGCATATAGAACTAGGTCACTTCAAATCAGTCCTGCCCTCGCCAAGCAGCATGGTCAGGTAGAGGTGCTTTAAAAAAAATAATGGTGGATCCGGCCAGAAAATTTGTAAGCTGATAACTTCTTGTATTCTCTTCAGCACTCAGTTTCATTGTTATCAGCTACCTCTGTAGGCTGCAGAACATCCCCCTGGGTGCTCTGTAGTCCTAAACAACATCCTGTCCTTGGGTGACAACATTGCTCCTCCATAGATACTGTGCAGTGAGTAAGCCTCGTCACTCTAGAACAGAAAGTCTGATACCAGCAAGGAGGTGGGAGTTTTGACTGTCAGCAGGAGCAGCCATTTATAAGAGATTACTCAGCACTGCGGGCTTTCATCTATCTGCCAGGGATATGTATTTACAAGCAGCCCCAGCAAACAGATTACATAGCCCTGCAGTGCTGAGCGGCCATTTATGAAGATACACTGTTTCAGCCAGTACAGTGTATGACATAGCCGAGACGGTGATGAACATTCATTCATAAAAAGATCACTTGGTGCTGCAGGAGTATGTGATCTATCTGCTAGTGCTGCTTGTAAACACAGCCCCTTCAGACAGATCACATAGTCCTACCCTCGAGCTGTTGTGGAACTACAAGTCCTATGAGGCTTTACAAGACTGACAGTTACAGGCATGACTCCCTGAGGTATGTTGAGATTTGTAGTTAAAGCACAGCTGGATCCGATCTTCTTTCTAGTTATTGTCAGGAGTCCCTCCAGAGCTGGCGCCGGTCCCTGATCCATCGCTGACTGCTGTGTCTTCTGTGTCCCATGGAGTCTGTGCGGGTTGCCCTCCCCTGAGCTAGGTTGTAGCAGTACAGGATCACCAAGGAAGAGAGTATAAAGAAAACAGAAGGGAGAACTGACTTTTGGCTCCATTTAATAAATAGTGCTCTGAGGTGAAGCATGGGGAACTCTGCTATAAGTATTTAAACATATGCAGGAGGGTTTTTTCTTTGCTTTTTCCTTGTAAGAGATTTTATATTAATGTCAGTAAAGTCGGCCTCTGTGCGTCTTAGAGATGCATAAATTGTGGCTAATTCAACCCAGCGAGACAAAATAATAAAGGGGATTTTCAGGGATAAATGTGCCGCTTCCACATTCTCTTATGAATCAAGGTATTTCCCTTTCTTATCCACCAACACAACTACTCATGAGTAAACTCTGTTATGCATGACAAATGCCCATGAATGCAAAATAAAAGAAAAATACTGAATATGTTCATAAGGTGCGACTACAAGTATATAAAGACTAAAAGCCTCTAACCAGAGACTCATGGTTGCCACATACCAGACACAGAATTGTTTAACCCGATAGTAGAGAAAGGAGGAGGCCTCTGCTCTGATGAAGATATCCTGGTCTCCACCGGTTTCCAGGGAGCTAAAATAAAGCCAAACAGAACATATAAAATATCTAGTAACTCACTAGAGAAGGGAGGTCAAGTAAATCACAAGAGACAGCAACAGATATTGGAATTCCCCAAATGGTTATTATTACAATCTCTTGTTACATGAAACATGTCTGGAAGTGATTATTCAAAGTAGAAGAGTATACGGAGCATATCTAGATCATGCAGTATCAGTGCCGTACCCATGCCAGGGAATATTGAACGCTCGCTCCATGGGGCACTCCAGTCCTTTCCATTAGTATTCACCGCATCCTGGCTCCATGTACAAGGCTCTGCTTTCTTCTTGCCAGCTGTAGCGGCAGGGGGAGCCCACTTTTCCTCTACGATTTGGGAGGCAATCACCTTAGTAGGCTTCTCATTCCAGCCACCCCCATTTACTGCAGACACCTCACTTGGACCTGGGGATTTACATCTGATCCAGCGCTGTCTGCTGGGTCTTCTGTGTCCCATGGAGTCTGTGCAGGTGCACGCTGCCGGCTGCCTGCATTGCTTACCCGTGTCTCTACTCTTCTCCAGATCTCTACTGTGCATGCACCTGTCCCATGATCCTTTGCGGCCACTTGAGAATTTTTCAGATCTTCGGACGGGAGCACGCGGCGGAGACACAGGCAATATCCTTTTTGGTGACTTTTTTGTTTTTGCTATATCTACTGCTCGCTAGCAGTAGATATATGCAAAAAACAAGCTTTAATTATCCTTTAAATCAACTCTAAAAAATAAAATTTAGATCTAAAACAGAACACCAATGCGATGTCTGGTAGTGGACTGCATATATACTACTGCATATTACCATCCATACTTTGAGATTTTAATAGCCCTTATAACCACTACAGTTTTAACACAATACCCTCCTTTCTCATTGCAGCAGAGCCCCACATTAAAATCTTATCATTAACCACTTAGCCTTTGAACTCATTCAAGTTGGGAAGGCACAATGATTTAGGCCATGAAGGAGTTTTTATTGTTCCAGGGTCACAGTTTTCAGGTGTAGAAGTTGGCACTCTAAATGAAGCTGTGCAGATGTAATACCATTTGTATGGACATACCTTTAGATTTTCTGATGTTTGTTGGCTGAAATGAAACCATTGTGAAGGATTCAGTGACTGTTGTGGTCTCAGGGTAAATTTCAGAGTCTGTTCCTTTATCACGTTTGCGCTGCTGTCTCTTTTCTTTGTTACTGATCTTCGTTTCCCAGTTTCCTATACAAAGAAAAAAACATGTGGCCCTAAGTGCATAGTGTAAGACACAGTAATCAATGGATCAGAGAGCAACAGAAAGATACATTCCTGAAAGGAGCAGCTCCTCAACGTTTTAATGTTATGAACACATATAAGTGCATAAAGAGCAATACCAGCGGCAAGTAAGCTGAAGTCAGTGAACTGTCCGCACTATTTAGCAAAAATTGCAACTGTTCTTAAAGATCCTTTAGAGCAGTGGTTCTCAACTCGTGGGTCGCGACCCAAAAGTGGGTCGCGACACCCTCTGCAGTGGGTCGCGGCGTCATGTCTGCATAGACCGGCCCATCTGCATTAGAGAGAACTAGAGGGGGAATTTGTGGTTCAGCCTGTGGAACCTCATAATGTCAAACTGTCCCCTCTCTCCCGGCCTCCCCCGGGCTCTCCGATAAAGTGGTATGGCCCGGGGAGAGAGGGGACTATTTCATGGAACTGTACCCCGCAACCGCCACCCCCACACGTTTTTATTTTAATTTTTTTAAATATTTAATTTTTATTCTTTATAAACTTTTTAATTTTTTTTAATTCATTTACTTTCAGCAAAATATATATTGCTGAATACTGCACAAGTTGTTTTGTGTAATACATTAAGATGTTTCATAAATGAAATCATTTTTGGGTCACGCCTTAATGACCAAGGAAACATGTGGGTCCCGAGGTTACACAGGTTGAGAACCACTGCTTTAGAGGAAACACGCTAATCATGTTCCATTAACATTCCACAAACTCCCTGCAGCTCTGACCTGCTGGCAGGCCACTTGGAATTCCTCTTAACCTTTCTAGTTGATCATGCACACTTACTTCACCTCCAAATAATACCATTAGTTCCTAATAACTGGCAGACGATTTGGAGCAAAGGAACACGTAGTATTAAATTCATGTTTAAATATTGCTGTATTTATTGCTGTAGTAAAGCGCTGCACAAACTCTTAGCGCTATATAAATCCTGTGTCATAATAATAATAATAGTAATGGCATATAAAGCCGATTTCCTGCAGTTGACGTCTTGACTCCTGACACACAAGCTGAGCAGGTAGATATGGTATAGGTAATCGAAGGCCTGGTATAAACCTAGGCATTTTTGAGCAGTAGCAAAAGCGCTTTTAAACGCCCAACACAAGAAGTCCCATGATTTTCAATGGCCCCATGTTCATGGATTACCAGCAAATCCGCCATAAGCTTCAAAGGAAACGCAGCAGAAGCATGTTGCACATTTTCGTGCGAGTTTGTATGCGCATTTGTCCATTGACCACAATGTTTCGCTGCCAGCGAAAACACCCATATTCACAAGCGTAAAACTCTGCCAAACGTAAAAAATGCACACTGAACCTTTGCGTACAAAAACGATGCCGCCTTGGAGTGAATGGGGCCTCAGGCTGGGTGCTAGAAGCTTCCAGAAACCAGATTATGACTGAAAGCTGCATGCAACTAGTCTGCCAGCACACTGCATGAAAGAACTGGATTTGTGGTTGCACAAGGGAAGGGAAGAGCTGTTGCTCAAACCTGGACTCAGGCAAAAGTGAGACTGCTATTCAGGGAACATCCACATACTGGAAGGTCCTTATGACAAAGAACATTTTTTACCAAAACCTGTATGTAAAAGGGACCTTTGGATCCTACTATTACATCATGTACCAAAGCCAATCCTGTAACTTTGCTTACCTGTATAACAAAGTACCTAAGGGTTCATTCACACCACATGCATTGGCAAAACAATGCATGTTTTAGCGAAAGGCCTAGTGTGCGTTTTAGCGAAAGGCCTAGTGTGAACAGGCACTAATTGGACACAAACATACAACTGCCTCTAATGTGTCAGCTGGTTTGCTACAACAAGCCCAATTATTGCCATAACTGCAACAGCTGTGCCAATGCAGGTAAACATACAGCGGACCTGACACTTCTAAATAAAACACAGCCTCTCAACGAAACCACATTCCCCAAGAGACAGAAGAGTATTGGTTCCTTGGCTCCTGGGATTTCTTTAGCACCGCTGTATGTAAGTGCAGGCACTCAGTGTCACTAAACCCAATAATAAAAAAAAAAAAATATATATATAT